AGCGGGAGCGCCTGAGGAAGGTGGCGGAGCGAGCGGCGGCCCGGCGGAGCGAGGACCAGGAGGAGCTGGAGAGGCAGCGGCTGCAGCGGGTCGCGGAGAAGGTGGCCGCGCGCCGGGACCTCGACCCCGAGGAGGCGCGGCTGGCGAAGATCGCGCAGGGGGCGGCCCTGCGGAGGCAGGTGAGCCTGCGGCCGCAGAGGGGCGCGGAGGAGCTCTCCGCCTGCACGGCCCTGGCGCTGCTCCCCGAGGACCAGGGCCGCCCGAGCGTCGAGCGCAAGAAGACGAGCGAGTACGCGCAGTGCCACCACTGCGGCCAGAGCGGGCAGCGGAAGGAGTGCGGCGCGTGCGGCGAGATGGGCATGTGCGGCTTCTGCAGCATGTGCTCGAAGTGTGGCCGCGTCTCTGGCTTCTGCGAAAGGCCAGAGGTGCACGCGAGGCCCGGCATGTACGGCTTGTCTGGCATGCCGAACCTCTCTGGCCTGTCCGCGGAGGAGCTGAAGGCCTTCGAGCCCCCCGCCGGGTCGCCCACGGCAGATGGCAAGTCGAAAAAGAAAAAGAAGAAGCGGAAGCGCAAGGGGGGCTCGAGCACGGGCGACTCCTCCAGCGGCCTGGAGTTTGTCGGGGCCCCGAAGGGCTCGCCGAAGGAGGGTGACAGCGACGCGGAGGAGACGTACGGTATTTACTTCGTGGACAACAGGGAGTACAAGGCTCCCAGCCAGGGCATGGCCTTCCGGTACAGCAAGAACCTGACGGACACCGTCAAGGACATGCGCAAGTTCGCGGCGTGGGGGACGACCCTCACGGGCTGGGACCAGGGCGACGGCTGGCTGAAGGTGGGCGAGTTCTTCCTGCCATTCCTGCTCGAGGGCAAGAGGGTGCTCACCTTCAAGGGCTCCGCGGAGGAGGCCATGAGGCCCGGCCTGAAGAAGCAGAAGCCAGCCCTCGAAGCGCCGCGGTCGCCCGCGGGCGTGGAGCTCTGACCCCCCCCCCCCGGCAGCGCCGTGGCGCGGGAGGGCGCCGTCCGCCCTCTTATACCAGGAGGGGGGCCGAGGCGCAGGGGGAGCGGTGACGGTCAGAGGGCCTGCCCGCGATGACTCCTTGCCTCGGGCCCTTGCACGCACGAGCTCTGCTCGGCCGCGGCACCAGTGACACGGCGGGCAGCTCGAGCACCGACGGGCTCCCGTCTTCCCTGCGTAGGGGAACGAAGCATGACATAAGCATAAGAACTCGGAGGTCCGCGCGGATTTCTCGGATCGGCACTGGGCCCCCCTCCCTGGCGTACAGAGCGCGCCAGGGGCGGCGCTGGAGGCGCCGCCAGGGGGCCCCAGCGCCGATCCGAGAAATCCGCGCGGACCTCCGAGCTTTTGCGTTTCCGTCGTGCTTCGTCCCCCTCACCGGTGACACGGCGGGCAGCTCGAGCACCGACGGGCGCCCGTCCTCCCACGTGGCCCTGATGACGCCGGCCACGGTCGGAGGCGCCGCTGCCCGGATCCGCGCGGCCTCGCCGCGGGCGTGCCTGCGGGAGTCCGCGGGGGCGCCCGGCTCGCCGGGGCCTGGTCTCGCAGGCCCGGGGCGGGCGCAGGGGCGCCAGCGCGCGGAGAGCGGTGCGGGACCAACTTTTCGCCGGCGGGGGCGCCTGTCCCAGGGCGGCTGGAAAGTCCATCCCCCCGCTCTGCCGCCGTGGGTCACCGAGCGCGCTCCACGGCTCGCAAGGTGCCTGCTCGCAAGCGTCCGAGAAGAACCTATATATACGTGTGCCTCGATGTGGTGGATCGTGGGCCCCCCGCGGCGAATCCAGGCCATTTGCGAGTAGTTGCTTTTGCGAGTCGTGGGAGGCGCTCGTCTAGTGGGGGCCCGGTTCAAGAGGCTGCGGAGAGGAGAGGGTGCGAGCACACGCAACAGACAGAGGGGGCAGTGCTAGACAACCGCTGTGATGCGTGCCGTTGCCCTCGGCGCGGTGCTCGAGCCGGCCAGGGGTCAGCCGCGTGGGGACGTGGAGCCCAGGCATACGACGTCTTTTGGGGAACGAAGAATGACATCAACATAAACCTCGGAGGTCCGCGCGGATTTCTCGGATCGGCGCTGGACCCCCCTGGCGGCGCCTCCGGTGCCGCCCCTGGCTCGCTCCGCGCGCCAGGGAGGGGGCCCGAGCGCCGTTCCGAGAAATCCGCGCGGACCTCCGAGTTGTTATGTTTATGCCACTTTTTGTTCCCCTAGTCTTGTGTTTTTTTCAGGACGGCGTCCCTGGAAGTCCCGACCCTTCCCCCGGGGCCGGTTTTGTCGTCCCGAGTCGTTTTTGGACGGCCCCGAGGCACGGCGAGGGCCCCCCCTGGGGCCGAAAACAGCCAACAGCTCCCCGTCCTGATCTTTCATCAGGGGGGGAAAAGCACACACACAGACACAATTATTCGTCGATTCCCAGAACATATGCGAACATATGGGAAGTGGGGGGGAAAACTGAAACCCAGAAAATATAGGATAGTATGCGGAATCCTTCTATTTGTGTGTGTTTATTTGTGTGTCCTGGGGCCCCTTCATGATCTTTCAGCGACGCGATCATGTCTGGGGTCGTACCCTGCGGCCTCGTTGCAGGTCTGGTCGCCTCGTCAACGGGGATCTCCGTGGCCTCGCGGTGGCGTCGCCCGAGGCTCGCTGGAGATCTGTTCCAGTGGCTCACGCCACGCCCCGCCGACTCCTTGGGAGAGTTCCGGGTGCTGTTTCGGGGGGGTGTTGTCGCAGAAGCTTGCTGATGCCGCGCGTCACTCTGAGAAACCCAAACTCGTCTTGAAAAGAGGCTATATTGGGTCGGCTCGGAGCCCAGGGCTGAACCTAAACGCTGTTTTGCTGGATTTCGGTTGTGTTTTTTTTTTGAGGGGGGTGGCAGGGAGATACAGGAAAACAGGTCGAGCAAAACGAACAACAAAACGAGCACACAACGAAAAACAACGCTTAGGTCCAGCCCTGTCGGAGCCCTCTTGGGGGCCTCTTGGGGGCCTGTGGGTGTCTCTCTTGGTTTCTCTTGGGGGCATGCTGGGGGTCTTGGGGGCGAGCTTGCGGGGGAGGGCTCCCAGGGCCCCTTGGGGTTCCCCCTCTCGGCCTCCTCCTGGGGGTCTCCTGGGCTGTCCTGGGGGGCCTCTTGGGTTCTCTTGGGGTGGGGCCTTCTCGGGTGCCTTTTTGATGCCGTCTTGGTGCAGTCTTGGCAGCCTCTTGGGCTGCCTTGGCACCCCGAGGATGGGAAAGGCGAGCACATCAGACATGCAGAGGCACCTCAGGACAACGGGCGATGTTTGCCTCTTTGGGGCCTCTTGGGAGGCCTCTTGGGGGCCCTCTTGGGCCCCTCTTGGAGGGGGTGGTCTTGGGGGCCGCGGGGGGGTCCGTCTTGAGACTGGCGTGGGCCGTCTCGGGGGGGGTTCCTCTGGGGCCGCCTCGGGGCCCTCTTAGACGGTCTTGGGGCCCTCTGGGACAATTTTTTAGCGCACCTGGCAGGAGGGTCCGGCTATGACCCAGCTCCGCCTCCCCCTCATCCCGCCCCGCTCGCTCCCCCGCCTGCTCCCCCCACCCTTTCCCCCCACCCCCTCCCCTGTACCCCGCTCCACCACGAGTTGTTATCGGGCCCGCCCGCCCGCCCCCTCCCCCCCCTGGAGAACTTGACCTCGTCGGTGGCGCAGGTCCGAGGGGTGTACGCAGTGCTGGTGCGCGCGGGCATGCCTGGGGCTGCCCACAGAGCGAGAAGGCTAGGTGATCGGCCAGCACCTCCCTTCCCCCCTGGGATCGCCCAGGTTCTCGCCGAAATTTAAATCGGTCGCGAGCCTGGGGGGAAGTGAGAAGGACAAGACCTTCTCAGCAGGCTCTGAGGTCCCTTGCCTTCTGAGAGGGTTTCTGAGGCCTTCCCGGAAGACGTAGAACACTTCGCAGAAGGCGCGAGGGCTTCTGAGAAGTCGTCCCGCCGCCTTCTGAGAAGGCCTTCTCCTCCTCACTTCCCCTCCCCTCCCTCGCCGCCCAATCCAAAAAACGGTCTCCCCAGCGCCTGTGGAGCAGCTGAGTCCGCCAGGGCCGGGGCCGCGGCCGCCCCGGGGGCCGCCTGCCGTGCCCCCTCCGCAGCCTCCGGGCCGGCTGGGCTTGGCGTCTGCACTCGCAGCGAACACATCGCAGCGGGCAGTCTTCGGCGGTGTTCGGCTTGCGGGGGGTCTCGCCGGGGCCGTCCATGAGACGACGCGGGAGGAAGCGCCGGTCCCAGGAGAGGGCTCCAGACATTCGGGGGTCCACGTCGTGGCCAACACCGCGACGTGGGGCATCTGGGCTTGAGGAGGGGCAGCCCTCTCACACGCCGAAGATTCCCCAAGGCGTCGGTGAATATCTGCTTGTTCGGCTCGGGCTTTGGGGACGCGAGTTGCTAAAGTGGCTGCGGGGAGGAGGCGGAGGGCAGGCAGGCATATTCAGAAGAGACCGTCCCGGAGCGTTCTGGAGCGCTCTCGGAGCGTTCTGGGGCGCTCTGAGACAGCCGTGGCGCCCGATAAATCCTCCAGGCCCACCAGCATGTAGAGATGCCCGAGTCACCCTCACCCGAACCTGTCCCCACCCTGCCTCGGCTTCAGGAGGCAGCGGATCCGCGATGCTGACGGGGCGCCCGCCTTCGTCTCCGTCACCGTGGCCGTCCTCATCGCAGCAGTTGCTGTCGTCGCCTCCTCTGCGCCGCCACGGCGCGGGCTTCCCGACAGGCTGACGCCACCGATGCCACGGCCTCCGGGGGCCCGGGGCCCCCGCCTCGGGGAGGCCCCCGGCCCCCGAGGCCGACTCTTGCCGATCCGACGGCGCAGCCGACTTTTGCCGATTCTTGCCGACTCGATGCGCGCGCCGATCCGATGTGTTTCCTCGGCCCAGCGCTGGGGCCGCCTGCGCGTGCAGCCGCGAGCGTGCCGGTAGCGGTGGTGGCCGTCGGGCCTCGCTGCGGGGCCGCCCGCCCCGCAGGCAGTGCCCTCCGCCCCGCCCCGCCCGCCGCGAGGACGTCCTGCGTCGAGTGCCCCTCGAGCGCGCCCGCCCCAGCCGTCGGGGACACGCAGCCACTGCCGTGCAGTCAAGACCCGTACGGTCGGGAGGTTCTGGTTACAGCGTGTCGCGCCGCCAGTGCTGGGTCACCACGCCTCGGCGCGATGCGCTGTCCACGTCTCCGCTCTCGAGCGTGAACAGTCCGAGCCTCTCCCAGCTGCCCGTGACCTGCGGATCGGAGCGACCTGCGGTTCGCTGGCAGGGCATGCCGTCTCGCATGGGGCCGCCGCCGCGACACGCTGATCAAAAGCAACAGCTCCTGACCGCAGTGAGGGCCAGTCGTTTCCCCTGGGGTTCTTGCACATTCTCAGGCGTTTCGGCCTTGCGCTGTTCAGAGCGCGTCAGCTGCGGGGTCCAAGGGTCTTGCGGCCCTTCCACACATCCTCGCTATGTACGTATACATATTCCTCTTCCTATATTTTTATAAGCCCGGGCGGGGGGAAAACCCGTCACCCCCCCCCTCAAAAAAAACCGGACTCCCGGGACCTGGGTAATTGGGGCCCTCCGGACGGGCCTCGAAGCGGCCACTGGGCATCGCAAGGCGTTTTGCCAAGCCTTCCCAGCACACTTAGGGCGATCAGGGGGGTCATCGGAGACGTCCCAGAGACCCCCCAGACAGCACAAGAGCGCTCCAAGAGTGACCGACGTGACCTCAAGATGGCCCAAGAGGCCTCCAGGACGGCCCCAAAGAGGCCTCCAAGAGCACTTCCAAGAAGGCCCCCCCCGAGGCAAAAATCAAGGATTTTCTGTTGGTTTTTGGCGAATTTTGGGGTTCTCCTCTTTTCGGCTTCCCGACGCTCCAAGACGGCGGTCTTCCGAGCGTCCGAAGCCGCCTGGGAGGCTCCCAAATCGCCCCACAACCATCCGAAAGGGCTTCCAAGCAGTCCAAGAGAGCCCCAAAATGGCACAACACGGGTCCAAGATGGCCCTCAGAGAGCCCCATGGCGGCCAAAGATGGCCCAAAGACACCCTCCGAAGAATTCCAAAACGTGATTCGGTCGTTCAGGGAGACGGCGGTTGGAGGCACGGTGGCCCGAGGAAGCCCCCGGAGGCCCCCAGAATACGCCCAGGAGGCCTCCAGAAGGCCGTAAGAAAGCCCGAAACAACTTTTGTGAGGCCCCTAGAGGCTCTCCAAGGAGGGACCTCCGCAAAAAAGAGCTGAGGAGGATGGGGAGAATGCGCAGGGTATGGCGAAAATAAGAAACAATAAGCGTGGAGGAAAGATAATGAATAACATCATTATAGCGGCGATGCCGGAAAAGGCAACCAGGAGTTATCGCTAAATTGTCGGCTTGACCTTCCTGCCATTCCGCCTGCATTCCAAACTTCAAGGACCAAGGTGCATGGCGCGAAGCGCCACTGCAGTCCTGTTTATATATATATATATATGTTTGACTGTGTCTGCAACGTCTCCCAGAGTCCTGCGCCAGGTAGGCAGCGCTTCGCACGCGCTGCCTCGAATCACCGCTCCGCCTCTGAGCCTCTCGATCACTTCGGCTCGGTGCGTGGCCACGCCCTCAGCGTGCGCTTGACGACGACTGCCGAGGACGACAGCAACGACCCGACGACGACGACGACGACGACGACGACGACGACGACGACGACGACGACGACGACGACGGCGGCGACGACGGCGGCGGCGGCAGCGACGACGACGACGACGACGACGACGAGGACCGAATACGGCGACAGCGACCACGACGACGCCGCCGCCGGCGACGAGGACGGGGAAGGCGAGGTCCCCCCGACCGGTTCCGGGGCAGCCTTCCGACGATAATCGCGAAGCGCATCCAGCCGTGGCCACAGGAGGAGCCCCAGGAGGCCCAGATCATGAAGAGAAGCGTGCGTCACCTGCCGAACGCTTTGGCGACGACGACGACGACGACGGCCGAGGCCGCGATCGCCCTCGCCATGGTGGCCGTCTGGCTCGGAACTCTGGCGGTCGCCGTCTACCTCGCGGGCGCGGTCGTCGCGACGGCCAGCCGGGGCATCCGAATCCACGTTGGGCCCCCTCCTCGCCCTCCTCGTCGTCGCCGTCCTCCTCCTCCTCCTCCTCCTCCTCCTCCTCCTCCTCCTCCTCCTCCTCCTCCCTCATATCGCTGTCGCTGTCTGGATGCGGAGTTCGGTTCGCACGCAGCCGTCCACCCCTCCTCCTCCTCCTCCTCCTCCTTTTTCTCCTTCCTCTTTCTTTTCCTGTTCGTCTTACCTTCCTCTTCATCTTACTTCTTCTTTCTCCTCGAGGATGGAGGGGCCACGTTTTAAATATGTGGGCTTTGGGCCTTCTGGGATCTCCAGGTAGCTTTCCTCCATCCCCCTCCCCTGCCTCGTCCTCGTGCTCCTCCTTCTCGTCGTCACCCGTCCTCTTCCTTCTCGTCCATTTCCCTCTTGCCCCCCATCCCCCTCCCCTGGCAGATCCCTCGGGGCTTTTGGGCAGCTTCCCAGCAGAGCCTGAATCCTCCTCCTCTCCTCCTCCCCTCCCCTTCTGTTCCCCCTTCCCCTCCCCCCCCTCCCCCTTCCCCTCCCCCTTCCCTCCCCCCTCCTTCCCATGACCTCCCTCCTCCCCCCTCCTCCTCCTCCTCCTCCTCCTCCTCCTCCTCCTCCTCCTTCTTTTCCGCCTCCTCTTCGTCGTCGTCGTCGTCGTCGTCCTCCTCCTCCTCCTCCTCCTTCTCCTCCTCCTCCTCCTCCTCCTTGTCCTCCTCCTCCGCCTCCTCCTCCTACCCGCCTATCTCAGGCCACGCTCCACCCCGTACCCCCTACCCGTCTATCCTCTTCCCCTTGCGTCCTTTTTCCTCTCTCCTGTCTCCTCGTCCTCGTCGTCGTCGTCGTCGTCGTCGTCGTCGTCCCTCCTCCTCCTCCTCCTCCTATTCCGTCCTCCTCCTCCTCCTCCCTCCTCCCTCGTCTCTCCTCCTCCTCCTCCTCCTCCTCCTCCTCCTCCTCCTCCTCCTCGGTCCTCCTCCTCCTCCTCCTCCTCCTCCTCCTCCTCCTCCTCCTCCTCCTCCTCCTGGGAATCACACAGGCGCACAGGGATCGTGTGACCTGCCCCGCGCTGCTTCTGCCGAGCTCGCGCACAGCCACCTGTGAGCGGCTGAAGCCTCGACGACTGCACCAGAGGGCCGCACGTCCACGGCAGCCCATGTCCCTCGGCGGCAGCCTCGGCCGCGCCGAGGCCCCGACAGCACCCTCTTGGCCCAGGCGTTCGAAGCGCGGTTGCGCCTCCTCTCTCGCCGGCGCAAGGCTGTCGCGGCTGCCTGGGATGTGTGCAGGACGGGGCCTGGATGGCTCGTCCAGGAGCCGCACAGCTTTCGCACACAATCTTGTACGTGCGTCCACGGAAAAACCACCCTCTTGGCCCAGGGTGGCGGGCTCGGGGCACCCGTGACCGAGCTCCTCCGCTCGGGCCGCCCCGCCGGGGCCCCGCAGCCCGAGAGCGGAGCGGGGCAGAAGGTCGAGGTCGGTTCCGGGAGGGTGCCCAGATGGCCTTCGTGATTGTCGGGGGCGGCGAGGAGGGGGGGGATGACCAGAGGGGGGGGGGGATATCATGGCGTGGGCCATGATATTTCCCCAGATTTCATGGCGCACCTCTTCTTCTTTCATGACGTCCCTGGCCCCCCCGCTGGGCCGCGCACGTGCCGCCTGTCATGATTTGCACCCCCCCTCTTGGACACCCCCCTCTTGGCCGCTCCCGATGATTGATGGACGGTCTTGTGCGTCCTCAGGGGGGTACCCTCGAGTGGCCTCATGGCTTGGGGTGTTTTTTGGCCGGCGGGGGGTCTCATGTTCTTGAAGGATGTTCTTCTGTCCTAGGCCAGGTCCGACCGTGCAGCGGGCCTTGGCCAGTAGGTCGCCCCTGCCAAGTCAAGGGTACCCTTGTGTCCTGTATTTGGAAGCCCGTGCCTTTTACACTCCTACGGCAATGTAGCCCTCGGAAGGGTCTTGCGTCCTTTCGCGTGCCCGCTCGAACCAAGCCCGACCCTACCTCGTGCACGGGCCCACCAATAGGGGAACGAAGAATGACACAAACATAGAAACTCAGAGGTCCGCGCGGATTTCTCGGATCGGCGCTGTACCCCCCTCCCTGGCGCGCGGAGCGCGCCAGGGTCGGCGCCGGGGGCGCCGCCGGGGGGCCCCAGCGCGGTTCCGAGCAATCCGCGCGGACCTCCGAGTTTTTATGTTTCTGCCACTTCTCGTGCTCCCCCTGACAGCCGCAGTAAGCAGGGGCCTGGAGCCAGACCCCCCCCCTCCCTCCCCCCCCTCCCGCCCAATGTCGGAACGCCGAGCAAGAGAACGCCCTCCTCCTCCTCCTCCTCCTCCTCCTCCTCCTCCTCCTCCTCCTCCTCCTCCTCCTCCTCCTCCTTCCTCCCCACGCCGGCCCACCTCCCGAGCTCGTGCCCGCCGCCAGCCACACGCGCCGCCGCCGCGCGGCCAGCGGCGGGGGGGCGGGGCAGCTGCCCGGCGGCGGGGCGCGGCCGCCGCCTCCGCGCGTGCGTGCCGCTGCTCGCGCCCGGGCGCCGCCGCCTGCGCTTCTGCCGGGCCTCCAGGAGGAGTGTTCAAACATAGAAAATCATATCGTCCCCTTTGTTGAATCTGTTTGAATATGTTTGGATCTGTTTGGATCTATCTGACTATTTTGGATGATTTGTTGGAATGGTCTGCGGGCGATTTGTTGACCTTTTTTCCATGTTTCTGGATCTGTTTGCAGGTGCTTCGTTTCTTGTCCGGAACCCGCCCGTAGGAGGACATGCCCGATCTAAGCCTGCGCCCTGGGCAGCCGCTCGGCGTCCCGGGCGGCGCCAGGGGGGGGGTCGGCGGGGCCGAGCTGGAGCGCCGCAGCTCGGCCACGTGCCCAGAGGGCTCTGACAACAGTCATGGGGGGAGGCTTTGCCTTCTTGTCGGCCTCTGGAGACCCTGCCCGGCCCTCGGGGCCCTCAAGAAACGACTCGGGACGAGAAGCTCGGGGGCGGCAAGGAGGGGGGGGATGACCAGAGGGGGGGTGGACATCACGGCCGGGGCCATGACATTTCCTCGGATCTCATGGCGCCTCTTCTTGGTCCATGACGTCCCTGGCCCCCCCGCTGGGCCGCGCACGTGCCGCCGGCCATGATTTGCAGCCCGGCCCCCTTGGACACCCCCCTCGTGGCCGCTCCCGAGTGAAGCCGGTCCCGGGGCAGGGGTCGAGGCCTCGGGGCTCGACGCAGCGAAGGGGTCACGGCGTCGGGGGTCTGGCGTTGCATCGCTCGGACGTGTGCATCTTTTCTCGGCAAAGAACTTCGAGGAGCATTTTGGAACACCCTGCGACAAATACACGTACGAAGTCGAAACATGCACGGGGAATGGACGTCCGAGCGATGGCGAGCTGGGCGCAGAGCTCCTGCGCCGCTCGGGCGCGTGCCTCGGGGGCAGGCGGCAGGGGAGGCTGGGCACGGGGGGGGGGGGAGGCCTGGACGCACAGGCGCCCGCGGGTGGCCCACATGGGGCCACACACACCTCGCCGCCCCGCTCGGGGGCGTGCGGAGCTGCAGGCTGTCGGGGGCCCATGGCCGCTCCGTCGGCGGTGCACCGCCGGTTCCGGGTCGATGGTCCCCCCGTGTGCCAGTCCCCCCCCTTACCAGCCTCGAACGTATCCCTATCCCTAAGATTGGCACGCCAAAAGCCGGTGACAATCTTAGGGATTCGCCCTCAAAAAATAAGGGAATCCCTAAGCTTGGCATCGTGATGAGGAGGTGCCCAGCATAGGGATAGGGATATGTTCCAGGCTGGTACCCCCCCCGTCGTTGCCCCTCGGTGGAGGCGGGTAGGGGGAGGGTGGAAGGCTTCTCGGAGCCCCTCCTGCGTCTCAGAAGGCGCGGGCCTTGTCCGTGGATGCGAGGCAGCGCCTTCTGAGGAGCAGCCTCCTTTTAAGAGGCCGTGCCCTCTCTCTCTACCCCCCTCCTGCGCGCCACCGAGCAGTGTGTTCTCGGCACGACCGAGATAGGGGTACGGAAAGGATGCGCACGATGCCCAGAAACAGTTCCTGTTCATTTTGAGCAGGACTCGCGGTCCGCGCCGCTGCGGACGTTGTTCGTTTGAGACAGAAGGCCGCCCGCCCAACAGCGGCCGCTGTCGATTTTGGGCTACATGTGTTGTTGGGCATCGTAACATTTTTTCCCCAATTAGGCTTGCCTGAGGGATTCTTACTTGGTTGAACAGATGGTGTCTCGAGGTGCTACTTTGCCCCTTCCCCAGAGATTCCCTTGAGATTCTCTGGGTTCCTCGAGTTCCTCGGGTTTCCATGCCAAGCAATGGCAAGCAATGCCAAGCAATGCCAAGCGATGCCAAGCAATGCCAATCGATGCGCCCAGCGATGCGCCCAGCGATGCGCCCCTGCAATAGGGTTCCCCTCCTTTGGGGTCTCGCCGGGCTTCTTTCGTACCCATTGCGTGCGTCCTAATACATAAGCTGAGCAATCGATTAGGACGCAGGAGGAAGACGAGGAGGAGGAGGAGGACGAGGAGGAGGAGGAGGAGCAGGAGGAGGAGGAGGAGGAGAAAAAGGAGGAGGAGGAGAAGGAGGAGGAAAGAGGAGGAGGAGGAGGAGAAAGAGGAGGAGGAGGAGGAGAGGAGGAGGAGGAGGAAGAGGAGAGGAGGAGGAAGAGGAGAGGAGGAGGAGGAGGAGGAGGCCGAGAAGGAGGAGGACGGGTTGGGGCAACACTTGCTGTGGGGCATCGTGCCCGTCTCGTCCGTACCCGTTGCGGGGGTCTCGATGCTCGGCTGCGCGTCAGAGTGGCGTCTCGCCAGGGGGGGGGCCTCCGGCGCGCTGCTCTCGGGGAGGAGGGCCGCGCGGCCAGGCCGGAGCACGCAGGGGCCGCTGCTGCCGCGCCGCGCGCCGCGAGATCTCCGCATGCCGCGCGCCAAAGGTCACTCTTGCCCAGGGACAGTCTCCCTTCTCGCCCTCCTCGTCCTCCTCGTCCTCCTCGTCCTCCTCGTCCTCCTCGTCCTCCTCCTCCTCCTCCTCCTCCTCCTCCTCCTCCTCCTCCTCCTCCTCCTCCTCTACGGGCGGAGGCTGCAGTCTTCGTCCCTGCGGGAAGCTGGGAGCCGCTGTCGCGGGGCATGCGCTGTACATGAGGAGCGGCGGTCTTCTCGGACTTCGGCGGCCCACCCGGCGGCTTTCCGCGATGCATGGGGACGCCACGAGCGCCCAGGTACGACGTGGAGGGCGAGCGGATCTTCGAGGTCCCCATCACGCCCCTCGCGTGCTCGGCGCCGCCCCCCGAGCAGGAAGGCTAGGGCCTGAGGGACGCCGCGGCCGTGGAGGGTTGCGCCCCCCCCATGCTGCAAGCGGCGGTCCCAAGACAAGTGGATAAGACCAAGATGGCAGTGAAAGGCTGCGGCCTCTCGGATGGCCGTGAGAAGCCCGTCCTGCAGAGGGACGACAGCGACGACCAGGTCACCGACGGCCTGTGCGTGCGGCTCGCGAAC